ATCCCTCAGCCACCCCGGCAGCTCCTGCGGGATCTGCAGCAGCACAGAGACATCCCTCAGCCACCCCGGCAGCTCCTGGGGGATCTGCAGCAGCAGCAGCCAGCAGCCAGGGCACAGGGAGTGCACGCCGGAGGAACAGCCACGGGAAAATGCCCCACTGGCCCCACGGAGACAGAGCAGGCAGGAGGTTCAGGGGACACAGGAGACAGTTTGTTTCCTCAGGCAGGAGAGTTGATCCACAGCGCTGGGCAGCCCTGCTGGAGAAAACCAAGAGGAACCTGACAGGGACAGACAAACGAGGAGAAGTTGCAGCAGAACTTCCCATTCAAGTCCACAAGCTCTCAGAGGTACCCGAGGATGAGGAGGAGACATCTGGTGATCTCATATCTCCAGAAGAAGAATTCATACCAGCAACAGAGAGATCCCCAGTATCTGCTCCGGGGAGAGCAACAGAGCCCATGATCACTGCAGGGCCCGAGGAGACTGTGAGTGCCACTCCTGCCTGGAACAGCTCCCTCCTGCTCACAGAGCCATCAGCTCCCCTACCCTCACCTCCTCCACACCCCGCAGCACCTGCCAGAAAAAGGCCACAAACATTTCCAAAACCTACAGACTCATGGGAAAGATCTGATTTGAGTCAAATATCAGCAAATGGCATAAAACAATCAACTGTACCAAGTGGAACATCCACACTCTTCCCTGCTGGGCAAAACTCAATATATTCTGGGGAAAGTAATAACCAGCACTTAAGGTCTGCATCCACAACACCCATGACAGAAGCTGCAGGCACCAGCAAGGCTGTAACTCCCCAAAACACAGCAGACAAGTTACATATTTTTACTGAGTCTATTGACAATGTTCCCACCATAACAGATCACCAGGTCCCTGTGGAGACAGTCAATGCACCAAGCTCTGAAATTGGCCCCATTTATTTTCACAGTACTCAGAAAGGAGGAACCCCATACCCACCACTGGCCCCGACTTTGGCAGCTCATCAGCAAATTCAGCTTATCCAGGACGTTCCAACTCAGCCACCCCAGCTCCAGCAGCACCACGGGAGACGAAGGAAAATTTCTGGTCGGAGACGAATTGTTAGACCAGGACGTACCCCAGGGGTGAAAGAGCATCGATACCATTTTGGGAGGCCAGGGTCTGCCAGAGGAGGTACAGCTGTGGCTGCAGGTGTTCAGCTGAATGTGAACTCTGTATCAAATGTACCAACCTCAAATAACTTGAGCATTTCCGTGAATCCATTTAGCCCAGAAGCGCCCCAGTCTTCCCCCTCCACCGTGGATATGGCATTGGAGCACCCTGTGGGTACCCATCAAAACACAGCATTCCTCAGGGAAGAGGAAAAGAAACAAAGTGCAATGCAAAAATCTGCTACCACAGTCACATCTGTCCCTGCAAAGGACACTGCCACTACTGCAGCCAGTGCATTGGGTGCAATGGGCTTGAAGCCAACAGTTCCACTTGTGGCTGCTCCTCAAACCGACACCAGAGTAACCAAAACTGAAATACTCAGAGTGGGAAGAAGGAGAGGTCAGAGGAGGAAGAGGCCTCCTAAAAAAGCTGCCCCACAGCGTGTGGCTGCAGCCCACAGCATTGCAACCACCCCTGCAGCGAGCACAGCCACCCCTGCAGCGAGCACAGCCACCTCTGCAGCCCACAGCATTGCAACCACCCCTGCAGCGAGCACAGCCACCCCTGCAGCCCACAGCAGTGCAACCACCCCTGCAGCGAGCACAGCCACCCCTGCAGCCCACAGCAGTGCGGCCCCCCCTGCACCGACAGCTCTCACATCACCAGCTGTGCCTCCGAGCCTTGCACCTGCAAAACCCCTCCCTGGGAGCACCACTGCAGGCTCCATGAGCAAAACAGCAGCACTGGGGGTCCCTGAGAGCCCCCAGGCACCCCAGCACAGGCCCAGGGCAGCCCCACAGACATCAGCAGCCCCGGGCACCTGCAGGAGCACCCAGTCAGCGACGTCCCTGCCTGGCACTGTGACTGCCCAGAGCCCCACCGTGGCACCCCGAAGCACACCAGTCACACAGAGGAACACCCAGCTGGCCACGTCCCCAGCTGCTGGTCCTGCCCAGAGCCCCACCATGGCTCTCCAAACCTCCCCATGGCTGGACCAGCCCCCTGGTGCCACAAGTGCCCGACCTGCTGCAGCCAGTGCCACGCCAGGGCCAGTGCCTGCTCAGCACATCAGAGCCACTGCCACGGCAGGAGACAAACCCTACCTGCGGATGGGGGAGGGAGGTGTCCAGGCAAAGCTGGGAGCACATCCCACAGCCCCAGCACGAGCCGTGCCAAGTCCTGCTGCAGTCACTGCTCCCAGTGCCCGGCACCCCTCCCCTGTGCCAGCCCCCACCACAGCCACCCCCAGAGCCTCCTCGCCCCCACGGGGGGGTGGCCAGCGCCAGCCCCAGCCCAGGCCACCTCCCCAGGGCACAGAGAGGGGGAACACTCTGCACTCACCACAAATCACAGCTCCCCGGGGAAGGGACAAGGACGGGTCTGAAAGGAGACAAGATCAAGGCACCACCGCCATCCCCAAGCCCCTCACCTCAGCCTCTGCAAGCAGAAACCATTTCTCAAAGCCCAGAATAGTCGGAGGCAAATCGGCTGCTTACACTCTGCTGGCGAATTCTGATGCTTTTATTCCTTGTGAAGCTACTGGGAACCCTCCTCCAACAATACAGTGGACCAAGATACCATCAGGTGAGTTTGATAAACCTCTCTAGAATTTACCTTCCATTAGTGCTGTAATTTGCCCCCTCTTCTGTGTGCCAAACTCAAGCATTGCTGCATTTCAGAGTACTGTGAAATATTAGTGAAAGGTAAACTTGGAAACAGTGACAGAGACTCGCTGGAGCATCTTAGTACTGATTCTGGAATAGCTCTTTACTGAAATGATTAAAAAAATCAAACCTATATTTAATTATAATTCCTTGCTTATTGTGGGAGGAATTCAGTATTTATTGTACATTACCTGCTATTCCGGAACAGTGAGACAAGTGAAAAGAAAAATGTGGTGAAAACTACTCAAACGGAGTCTCAGCTGTGCCAGGTTTGGATTGCAAAGCCCCATGTGCTTTATCCAAACTTTGTCTCTGCTGGAGATTCAGCTTCATTCTGACTTCAAAGCTTTGTCATTCTATGCGCAAAATCCTCTGATTTCTTTCGGCTTTCTCGCTGTTGTCTCGGTTATTTGGGGGAAGCGGAGGCGGGCAGGTATTGGGGCACAGGAGAGCCAGGGGCAGGCAGTGACAGTGACAGTGACGGGCAGTGACAGTGACAGAGGCAGTGACAGGGACAGAGGCAGTGACAGAAGCAGCGATGGGCAGTGACGGGCAGGGACAGTGACAGGCAGTGATGGACAGTGACAGGGGCAGTGACAGAAGCAGCGATGGGCAGTGACGAGCAGTGACAGTGACACACAATGACGGCAGTGACGGGTCCTTGTTCCGCAGGGCGCGGTGCCGCAGGTGTCCCCAGGTGGGCCGTGCTGGCCAACGGGACTCTGTCCATCGCCCGGGCGGGGCCGCAGGACGCGGGTCAGTACCTGTGCACGGCGGCCAACGCGCTGGGCACGGCCCGGCTGCTGGTCACGCTGGCCGTGCTGGCCTCGCCGCCGCGCATCGCCCGCGGCCACCAGCGCCTGCTGACCGCGCACTCCGGGACCAGCGTGGCACTGGCCTGCAGAGCCCAGGGCTGGCCCCCTCCCGGCATCTCCTGGCTGCTGGCAAACAGCACCCACCTGTCGCACTCCTCGTCCTCCTCTGCGAGTGACAGAGCCCGCGTGGAGCCGGACGGCACTCTGGTCATCCGGGCGGTCACCGTGTACGACCGGGGCCTCTACACGTGCCTGGCCAGCAGCCCTGCGGGCTCCGACACGCTGGCCGTGAGGCTGCAGGTGGTCGCGGCCCCTCCCAGCATCCTGGAGGAGAAGAGACAAAGCGTGGCGGCCGCGGTGGGGCAGAGCCTGAGGCTGCCCTGCACCGCGCGAGGGAACCCCGAGCCCACGGTGCACTGGGTGCTCCCCGACGGCACGGCCCTGAGACCCGGCGAAGGTGCGCAGCCGCTGCCGCCCCGGCTGTGGGTGCTCCCCGATGGCACCCTGCACCTGGGCACCACGGCCCCCTCCGACAGCGGCACCTACGAGTGCATCGCCACCAGCTCCACGGGCTCCGACAGGAGGGTGGTCAGCCTCGAGCTGCAGCGCACCGAGACACTCCCGAAAATAGCCAGCGCCTCTCAGCATCTGACCCGGCTGAGCTTTGGGGACAGGCTGCTTCTGAACTGTACGGCAAGTGGGGAGCCCAAGCCCAGGATAATTTGGAGGTTGCCCTCCAAGGCTGTTGTGGACCAGTGGCACAGGTATGACCCTTTTTACCTCCACCTCTTTGGTGCTTCAAACACTGTCCCCTCTGCCCCTCTGTCTCCCTTATGCTCACATAAAAGCCTATTACAGCACTAAAACACCGTGAACTAAACCAATTTTTAAGCTTTTAGCAGTGGTGAAACATCAGTTCTAATGGTGTCTATAGCTAATAACAGACCTACAGAGGTCTCAAAGTACAAATCATATTTGAATTAAGGTTATTACTGTCACCATGCAGTGGCTGACTGCTGTCAGTTTGGAGGAGGAGAAGTTCCTTGTAACAGATTTGTGAAGCAGGGCTCAGGAGGGAGGGAGGGGTTTCTTTCATCTCCGCCCACGTTTGCCTTTGGGGGTCTCCCCACACCCCCTCGCACAGTAACACCTCACCTCCACCTTAGGAGAGACAGCCCCAGCAGGGTCAGCAGCACTCACACCCACACAACACCAAAATTGACAGTGACATCAGGGCAGGACACGCTGGGTGGGCACAGTGCCTTTGGGAAGGGCTGCTGGGTTGTACCGTGCTGTTAACACGTTCAGTCCCTTCCAGCGCTCAGCATTCACCCCCAGCACTTATTTCCATTATTGTTTTCCTCTCTCTCTCCCCACAACAGAATGGGAAGTCGGATCCATGTGTACCCCAATGGATCCTTGGCTATTGAGGCAGTTACAGAAAAGGATGCAGGTGATTATCTGTGCGTGGCCAGAAACAGGATTGGGGATGATCTGATACTGATGAAAGTCGGCATCACAATGAAACCAGCCAAGATTGACCACAAACAGCAGTTCAAGAAACTGGTGCCATATGGGAAGGATTTCAGAGTGGACTGCAAGGCCTCAGGGTCTCCCACACCAGAGATCTCGTGGGGCCTGCCGGACGGGACCGTGGTGAACAATGCCATGCTGGCTGATGACAGCGGGCACAGGGCTCGCAGGTTCGTCCTCTTCGACAACGGCACCCTGTACCTCAACAAAGCCGGAGTGGCAGAGGGAGGGGATTACACTTGCTACGCCCAAAACACTCTGGGGAGGGACGAGATGAAGATCCACGTCACGGTCGTTGTGGCAGCCCCTCAAATAAAGCAGAATTACAAGACACACGTTACAGTGACGGCTGGAGACACGGCCCTGCTGGACTGCGAGGCTGCTGGAGAGCCCAGGGCACAGATATTCTGGTTGCTGCCTTCCAGTGAGATGATCTCCTCGTCCACGGACAGGCACTCCCTGCACGCCAATGGCTCGCTGTCCATCAGCCAGGCTGGCCTGCTGGATGCTGGCCAGTACCTGTGTGTGGCCCGGAACCCTGGCGGGGACGACACCAAGCTGTACAAGCTGGATGTGGCTGCTAAACCGCCCATCATAAATGGTGTGTACAGGAACAAAACCATCATGAAGGTGACGGCAGTGAGGCACTCCAAGAAACACATCGACTGCAGGGCAGAAGGGACTCCTCCTCCTCAGATTATGTGGATCATGCCTGATAACATTTTCCTGACGGCCCCGTATTACGGGAGCAGGATTGTGGTGCACAAGAACGGGACACTTGAGATCCGCAACATCCGGCCCTCAGACACAGCGGATTTTATCTGCGTGGCACGAAATGACGGGGGCGAGACTGTGCTGGTGGTGCAGCTGGAGGTCACAGAAATGCTACGGAGACCGATGTTCAGAAACCCTTTCAACGAGAAAATAATAGCAAAACCTGGGAGAGCTATCACACTGAACTGTTCTGTGGATGGAAACCCTCCCCCGGATATCAGCTGGATGCTGCCCAACGGCACGTGGTTTTCCATCGGGACATCCCAGTTTGTCACAGGGAGCAGTGGCACCCTGACCATCCCTAACCCCGAGGGACGCCACGCCGGGCGCTACCGCTGCGCTGCCCGCAACCAGGTGGGCTACATAGAAAAGATGATGGTGCTGGAGGTCGCCCAGAAGCCCAACATCCTCACCCGCCCTGCGGGGCTGGTGAAGGGGGTCAGTGGGGAGCCCTTGTCCCTTCACTGCCTGGCCGAGGGGAGCCCCAAGCCCCGGGTGGAGTGGGCACTGCCCGGCGGGCAGGTGCTGGAGGGGCCGCGGGCCAGCGGGAGGTTCCTGCTGCTGGAGAACGGGACCCTGCTCATCCGGGCGGCCTCGGCCCAGGATTCGGGCAAGTACCTGTGCAGGGCCAGCAACGCCGCTGGGGACTCCTCGCTCAGCATCCCCGTCGTGGTGACAGCCTACGCCCCCCGGATCGTGGGCAGACCCCCGCCGGCCATCCACACCCTGCCAGGGGCGGCAGTTCAGCTCCACTGCGTCGCGCTGGGCATCCCCAAACCAGAAATCACCTGGCACTTACCTGACGGCTCCACGCTCTCCACAGCCCAGCAGGGCCGGGGGTCTGGGGGCGAGCTGCTGCACCCCACGGGCACCCTGCTCCTGCAGAGCCCCCGGGGCTCCAGCTCTGGGCTCTACAGGTGCACAGCCAGGAACGCCCTGGGCACCGACACCGCCCTGGCACACCTGCACGTCCTGTGAGCAGCAGTGCAGCAGCAATGCTGGGGAGCACAGGCTGCAGCTGGGCTGGGGCCGTCCTGCAGCTCTCATCGAGGGCAGCCACAAGCAGCCGAGTGCCCGAGCACATCCGCAGCAGTCAGCCTGCAGGGACTGGGCACCAGGACGGAGCAAGGGGAAAAGCAGCATTGCTCGCTAGCGTCGGATCTCTCCCTGTGCAGGGGATCTAAATGAAAGCAGAGTTAAGGCACTTCTGCCCTGCAGAGTAATAGCAAACATTGACAATCAAACACGGTAACTGCCTGGAAATGTGCCCAGAGAGCTCCTGTGTGCACACGGTTGTGCATCATCCAATCCTGCCCACCGTGTGTGACTGTCACAAGCACGGGTCAGAGAGGGCAAGCACGCCTGGGAACCAAAGAGCAGCTTTATTGGGATGCAGATTAACTTCCTCACGTGTTTTAATACTTACTATGTTTTTAAAATAAATATTCAATGGTGGAACAAGTATGAAGTATTTTTAATAGCACAGCTGTGGTTGCCACAGCGTTTTCTGCAGAGCTGTGGGATGACACAGAGCAGCTCAGTTTGGAATGAGGGAAGCTCTGCTCAGCACTGTCAGGACAATGCACACAGGCTGGGTGTAGAATCACTCCAGCTTGGCATCGCTTTCTTACTGTCACAAAAGCATTTTTTAAAGATTTCTCAGTAGAATAAAAATCACATCAATTTGAATCTCAATTTAGAATTGTGATTCCTCAATTGAGCAGCCAGGTAGGTTTAAGAAGCAAATTGAGTTAGCACAAAACAGGAAAAAAGTATTACCAGACTATTTTAAATACTCCAACATTTAAAGTTCCTCTTGCAAAATGAATACATTGAAGAAGAATTGTATAGACTAACCCCTAAATTACATAAAATAGGGGTGCTCAGCCTGCATAAGAGAAGGTTCAGGGTGGCCCCACAGCAGCTGTGGCATTGAGCACCATGGGATCAGCACCCCAAACCCCCAAACTCAGCCTCTACCATCCACCTCTGGGCTCTCAGCTTTGCACATCTGCCTCCTAAATCCCCTTTTTTTTTGCTCATTAGACCCAGTGAAAATGCACTAATGCTTTTAGTTCAGTGGTTCTTTGGGAACCTGACATGCTGAATAGAGCTGGAGTAATCCTGTACCCAATAACTCCGTGGGTGCTGCAGAAACCGCCCCAGCTTTGCTCAGCAGAACCTGCTGCTTACTGAGGGCAGTTTCAGCCTTTTACAAGACTTCAGCATCTTCTCCCTTTCTGAAACCAAATCCTTCACTTCAAACGTGTTGTGCAATCTCCTGGCTCCAAGGCTGCAGTAACTGCTGAGGTTAGTCACAGGCACTGAGCAGCACACCGGGGTTTTGGGGACATAAACCCAACCCACAGCACCTGTGCAGGTGCTGGCAGGGGATCCTGCACCAGGCAGCGCCCATTGCAGTGGCACTCTGCCATCTGTTTGTTCCAGATATAAGAACTATCTTTTAAAACCTCAAAAATGGACAAAAATAATATAAGATTAATGCTTTTAAACTCAAAAGGTGCAGTTTCAGCATGAGTGTATTTTCTCTACTTTTCTATAGCAAACTTTTCCTAGTTATCCTCACCTACCTTAAATATGTTTGGGAAAACTGTGGAAATAAAGGAAACAAGTATAATGAGATTGAAAAAGGACTTGGCAGTGACAATTGTTGGGTCAAATCATTCCTAGCCCTAACCCAAGGCTCCAATCAGCACAAAGCCGTGTCTCAAAAGTAATTCAGTTTGTTCAGCTGTCTTCATGCAACTCTGACGATTGCAGAATATACATAACATTCACAACTCCAGAAATACTGATTTCATTAAAAAACCCCAGAGACTGAGGGGGAATTGCACAGCTTCATGCATGACACCATATTCTGCTTATGACAACAGAGCTGGGCTATGAATTGGACTTAAAAAAGAAATCTGATTCAAGGCTGTCACTGGAAACTGCTCCACTCTGCCAGCTCTGTAACACCACCTTTGACACACTTCTACCAGCTTGGTCCTATGCTTTCTTGACTAGAGACTTTGGCAAACCTGGAATATTGATTGTTTAGTACCACACACATGCTTGTATAATATGGATCCCACATCTGTGTTTGTAGGGAAATAGGATCCAACAGCCATATTTAAATGGATTTTTGTGCTCCACAAACACCTAGGACAACTGGACTACAGGGTGTGCCAAGATCAACCCAAAATAAAAATTAAATGAGGTGGAAAACAGTGGGATATTGTAGAGAAAGGAGTATTTATTACTAATTAGACCCATTTACCTCATTTAATTAAGGAGCAACCTTAGTGGAAGGTGTTCCTGGCCATGACAGGGGTTGGAGCTGGAAGGTTTTTAAGGTCCTTTCCAACCCAAACCATTCTGGTGCCACAATTCTATTATTGATACAGTTGATTTTAAACAAAGCTGCCCCAGGCTGTCCCCGTGCTCCCCGTGGGGGTACCTGGGGAGCCTCACCTGGAGCAGCTGCTGCAGAGGCAGCACCCCCTGCCCCACCGGGACAGGGCTTGTCTGGGACACAGGAACCACCTGGGAACCACCCAAAACAAAAAAAAGCATCCTCTGCCTTCCCCCAGAGTGTCGTGGGGCTGAGCCACCAGCTCTGCACAGTGATGGTAAATGCAGCTCTGCAGAGGCACAGTCTGCATTAAACCCAATTTCTGGCCTCAAAATTTACATGGGCAAAGGAACTTTGAAGACTGCCACTCGTAAATGAGAGTGAAAAAAACCTCAAAACCTCTGGGCTGCTGTATGTCCTGTGTCACATAAAGTGTCTCACTGCTACTGCTGAACAAAAACCACATGTCAGATCAAAAGCAGGACACGAACATCTCCATATGCCAGGCCAATTTTATGAGATGGCAACGGTTTATGCACTCTGCAATTTGATAGAAACCATCTATCTCTCTGTCAGACTTCAAAGGTAATCTTACACATTTGTTTTCTAAAGCAGCATTTCTTTAAACTTTTTAGCCACTCTGGTATTTTCTGAAGAGTTTACACAGTTATAATACAGATTAGTTGAATTTGGAGCTTCAGAAATAAATATTTAGCATTTATAACTGGAACCGAACTTTTAAACGTCTGCTTGGAGAAGTCACAGTAAAGCTTCTCAAATCATCACGAGGTGCTGCCCTCTGGAGCCAGTGAATTGCTGTAAAACTGGAATTCACCGACCAGAGGAAACAAGACAATCGTACTATCAGAAATGCTGAAAAGCTGTGAGCCTGTGGATCTGTTGCATCCAGCAGATGGCAAATCAGCCAACACACAGGACCCGAGTGAGGGTTAGGAGACCCCCTGGTGCATCGACACAGGGTGTGACTCCTGAGCTCAGCACGTTCAGCACAAAGGAGATTGTGCTGGACACAAGCCCAGCCTCCTGCCAGCCACCCCGTGCCCTCCCTTCCCCTGGGACTCACCTCTGCAGGTGCAGAACGCTCTCTGAAGGCACACACAGCACCAGGGCCTCTGGGAGGTGTTCCAGCTGTGGGCACCAAGCCCTCACCTCAGCCCTGCAGCTCCCCTTGCATTTCTGCTCCTGCCCTTTGCCTTCCTCTCACCATCCATGGTGTGCTGTTGGTTCCTGAGACACAGGTGAGGTGAGCTGGGCTCTTCCTCCTCCTCCTCCTCCTCCAGGGAAGGGCAGGGGCTCCAGGCAGGGGCTCTGTGGTTTGGGTTTGGGGTGTGTGTGTGGCACAGCAGCAGCTGCTGCTCCTCACATTTGATCCCTTTCCTGTCGACACCAACGGTCCCAAAGCATGCCCAGGACAGAGGGCAGGGCTCTTATGACCCTCAGAGAAATCCCAAGGGGACACCTTTGGTGTGGTTGACACCTGAAGCCCCTGTTTAGCAATCAGAGGGAAGTCAGGATGTGAGGAAGTTGAACAATGCACTTGCTTTTGGACATGACTGTTTGAGTCAGAAAAAGCCAGTAAGGATGTTTCCCCTCCACACATTGCACCAGATGGACACGAGTGAGATTTTAACTTCTGTGCAAGGCTTGAGAAAAGCAATTACATTTTTATAGTAGCACTTGCTACCATAGACATGCTAAAAATCTGAAGTGCCATTGGTGATATTTTGGCAGAAAAGACAAATATCTATCAGAAACCAATTATCTGAGAATAGAAGTTTACATCTCTTGCTAAAAGTTTATACATTCAGTAAGGGGAGGAAGCCTAATTAAATACTTATTAAATACTGTATTACCAAAACACACCTCCCCAGTCTGCAGAATGAAAAGCTCTATCCCTAAGCTCTATCCTTCTTTTAAATAAATTCACATTAAAAAATCATCCAGGGATGGGGCATCCACAGCTCCTCTGAGCGACCAGCCCTAGGCCTGCCCACCCTCCCAGGGCACAATTCCTTCCTCTCTAGCCCTGCCTCTGGCAGGGGGAGCCATTCCCTCTGTCCCTCCTGGCAGGTGACAATGTCCCCCCTGGGAGGCGACAGTGTCCCCCCGGCAGGTGACAATGTCCCATGTGACAGGTGGCAGTGTCCCCCCGGCAGGTGACAGTGTCCCAAGTGACAGGTGACAGTGTCCCCCTGGGAGGTGACAGTGTCCCCCCTGGCAGGTGACAGTGTCCCAAGTGACAGGTGACAGTGTCCCCCCCGGCAGGTGACAGTGTCCCATGTGACAGGTGACAGTGTCCCATGTGACAGGTGACAGTGTCCCCCCCGGCAGGTGACAGTGTCCCATGTGACAGGTGACAGTGTCCCACGTGAGCCTGGCAGGGGCAGCAGCTGTCGCTGCTCTCGGAGCTCTGTCCCTGCGCCCCCTGAGCCAGACAGGGACGGGCACAGGACACCCCAGCACGCTGCTTTCACTATTAGAAAACATCCACTTTCTGCATGAATCATTTCCTTGTGCTTTTACTAAATTTAAGCAAGTGGCTTTACAAGGGTTTTTTGGGGGTTTTCTCTTGGTTTGAAGAATGGAAGTTTTCTTTTCATCT